CCATCTATAAGACAAAATCATATTGTAATAAACAACATCAGTGTAAAGATATAAAACTTACGAACTTGATATTTGGAATAGTGGTCGCTCTAATGTAAATCAATCTAAAAGTGCAACAAGAAAGGATTTTTTGGTGTTTGCATTTAAAAGAGTGCGTCAAACAGGATTCTTGAGATATACGTTGAAAATTGAAACTTATGTTTTGTTTCTAAATGGTTGCCATAAATAAATAAATGCATAAATAAATAAACTAGAATATTATAATACCAAATGTATGTGTGTAGCTTATGTACTCAAAAACTACTGATTTGAATTTGACTAAAATCTCAAAGATTATTTATAGAGATGTCAGAAAGATGAAGGAGTAAAGTAGTTTAAGCCACGTCAACAAATTTAAGAAGTGCTAATTTAATTGTGTGACTTGGGGTTGTATATTTAGATCGAATTATTTCACAAAGCTAGAAATACTAAGGATGATTTATTTGTGTACTGAGGCACACTAAAACTAAGACACACATATATAGCATATAAAACATATATTATTTACCACAATACAAAATGCATAAGGGCTAAGCCAGGATAAAAATATAATTTCCGATGTAAAATAAGGTAAACGGTCATTTTGGACGGTCGGGTAAAAAGGTACATTGCAGAACGCGGAAACATTGTACTGTTAGGTAAAACTTTAGATTGCAAAACGTAGGCAGTTTGTACTGTTATATACATAAAGTATATATTAATATAGATACATAAGTGTTAAGTATATATAATGTAAATTATTAAAATGTAAAAATCAAATATAAAAATGTCAATTTATTAAAAACTTTATAAAATATATTATATTACTATTAGTCAAAATAATAAAATTAAAAATGTGTATACTTAAGTAGGCTAGTGGGTACATACTGGTTCTATACGATTTATAGAAATTTTGAAATGTAGTTCAACGATAAACACAAACGATAATTTGGTTAACTTTTATATGGCGCTTGGCAAATATATTATATATATTTAGAATGTATAAGGCRCTTAGATTTACCAAATAATATTTAAACTTTATAAAAAAGTGTATATAATATATACATATGTATATACTTTAATACTTTATACATGTATAATAGTAGAAAGTGTCGGCGTTCTGCAATCTAAAATTTTACCTGACTGTACAAAGTGTCTGCATTTCGCACTGTTAATGCTCGACCGTACAAAGTGACCTTAGAACCGTAAAATAAACTTAATTTTGTCCTGGGGTGACTTTGCCCAGGAAACGCTTGGTGATTCATCATCGTTTAGTCGGAACCGCTGAAGCTATGATTATGAAATTTTACCAGTAGTTTTGTTCCATAATGTAGACACCCAATAAGAGAGGATTTTTCAAAATTCAAAAAGAGGGCAAAAAGGAATAAAAAGGGTAAAAATGAAAAAATCAACCAGCCGGAACCACTGAAGATATGAGAATAGAATTAGGCATGTCAATGAGTTGATATTATAATATGAAAACCCCCTAAGACAGATATTTTCAAAATTTGACTTCTGCAGAGGTTAATTAAAAAGGTTTTATAATATTTTTWTWTWTTTTTTTTWTTTTTATTAGCTTTCACAATAAGTATTACAGCTCGACAATTATTTTAATAAACATATGATAATTGATAAGCAATATTGGCACATGCAACGTAAGCTATAACGTAGA